GTTTATTGAATTACTTCTCTGTACCAGACATTGTTCTTAGCACTAGGGGTATATCAGTGAAATAGAAGATACAAAAGTCTGTACCCTTGGGAAGCTTATTCTACACAGTTACCAATCTATCACCTCCACTTAGATGTGTCTAGTAGATATCTAATTCAAAAAATGCTTTTCCTCCCTGGGCATGCTCTTTCCACTTCTTCCCCATTTATGTAAATAACAACCTTATTTTTCCAGTTGTGCCAAAAATCAGTGAGCCATTTTTTACTTCTTTTTCTCTCACATTCATATACAATCTATCAGTAAATCTTGTTGGTTTCCCCTCTGAATATTTTCAGAACCTACCCACTTCTTGCCAAATCCGTGGCTACCATCCTTCTTGATCCACCTTCATCTCTCCCCTGGGAGGTTGAAACAACCTCCTAATTGGTCTCCCTGCTTCTGCCTTAGCTCTTCTAAAGACTTTTCAACCCATGAGCTACGGTGATCATTTTTAATCCTAAATCAGTTTATGTCACTTCGCTGATCAAAAACTTCCAGTGGCTCCCCATCTCCCTCAGTAAGATCCTTGCAGTATCCTTGCATGCATCCCTTCCACACTGCCCTGTTTGCTGTTTCTTGGAAGGATCATGCATACTCCTGCCTCCAAGTCTTGGGATTTCCTGCTCCCCAACATAAAATATCCTTCTTCCAGATATCCACTGGCTTCCTTCCTCCCTTTCTATAGAATTCTATTTAATGCCTTAGAAAGCTTTTCCCCAACCACCCTATATAAAGTAGCATCACACACACCACTGCTTTTACATTTCTAAGACATGTTCCCTGCTCTTTTCTAGCACTATGCTATCTAACATACTGTACATTACATATTATACATTTACTAGTTTATTTGTAACTTCTTGCACAAAATTTAAGCTTTATAAGGAAAGGACATAGTGAATTGTGATGTCACTAGAAACAGGTTGGCTTCTTGGATTATCCCAGGAAATAAGAGCCAAAAACTGGAATACCTCTGCAAAAAAAGTTCACCTCTCCTTGAACGGTGAAGTTCTCATCCATCGCTGGAAAAGTAAGTTAATTAATCTCACTCCAACACTATGCAGATCTTGAGTGCTGTTTCTAGTTTTAGAGGCTAAAAATGGGGCATTCTTTTAGGATGCCTCAGAGATTCCAGAACTAAAGGCATGAACAAAACCAAAATCCAAGAAGCTAGGAGAGTAGTCTAGAAGATCCCCAACACTGACAGAGATCAGAGAAGATGCTACCAAGCCAGACCAGGAACATAGAGGGGAGAGGGACTTTAAAACTGCCCCAGCTTCTTAYTTTAGACCAACGAAGGCCTGGTATATGAGTGGTTTATAATACTAAAGATGGAGTGGATGGACCTTGATTCATGACCACACAAATCCCTGCTGTTTTTGCCCAACTGTAGTMTCATTTAAGGCAAAGTAGGGATTTCAGACAGTGTGTAGGCATATTAATGGGCCAGTTATGGTTTTTCCTGATTGAATATAGCTGTAATGAACAGAAGTGAATATCCCACTAAGATCTCTAGTCCTGGAGTCCAAACAAAAACACCTTAAAATTCAGTAATATTTAGAAGATCTTTGTGTAGTATGAAAAATTTCATATCTGATTTTTTACATCTTTCATGTACTTTTAAAGAAATCTATATAACTTGTGCTTGATGTGAATAAGGCCTTTTACTTTTTTATTATAAACATTTAGATTTAAAGTGATTATAACTGACAGTTAAGACCAACAGGAGCCAGTAGCCTGTTCGTGGACAAATTATCTGTATTTCAAGCTAAATCAAAAGTAAACATTCTCTAAAGTCCCGTCAGGTCTGCATTAGTCCTCATAGAAGCCAAAAGCAGCACATAAGCCTTCCCAGTCCCCCTGTATTCTGTTTATTCACTTTAAGATGAACATATTTTTTTCCATGAAGCAGTATTCTATGCTTTTTTAACCATTCCCACATCTGAGCTCTTGAATGCTTAGTTGGTTTTCCTCAGTCAGCATTTTTATTTTATTAGGAGAATATTTGCAAAAGACTGAGACTGTGTTGTTTTATAATCTGTCAGATTAGTATTTTCCTAAATAACTATGCAAGAGAATAGCTGTCCTGATGACCTTTACTTTATTTATTTAGTTATTTTTGCATTTATTCTTTGGAAGAGGAAATAATGAATTTATGTCATTTAATAAATGATCAAAAAGATTAAGTATAAAAAGATAGAGCCATATTACTGAATGTCTGCAATAGAATATACTMATAATTTATTTTAAAGCAGTACAAGCAATAAGAGGGAAGTCAGCCTTCTGAATCACAGAGCAGTAAAATTCTTGCCACCAAGCAATGGTGTCACTCATTCTTGAGGTTCTGAGAGCATATTAGAAATTAGCTTCAGGGAAAAATGTCTTCTGTCTTGTCACTGGTTCTAAAAGGCAGTCAGTTTTAAACAAACACAGGCCTCTTTTTGGAACCTATATAATAAACTCAGACACATTAATCTCTACTCATGTCTCTAGTTAGGGTCTGACCCCTAACTCTTTCAGCTTTAATGGAAGGAAGTAAGGGCCAACTGACATTAGCTAACATAAGTTTGTATAAAGAATCAGATGTGCCTATAAGCAAATAAATATCCTTTCTTAAACTTGTGTTTTTATTGAGTTCCATAAGATAAAATGTCTCCTCATGATGATACACAATTGCATTATAATGTGTGTACTTTAACAACATTCACTTAATTGCAAATTTTGATGTAAGAGACAGCAAGGAGATAACAAGAGATCACCTCTTGTTTGGACTGGATGCTTTGGTCCTTGTACAAAGCACTGCCCTTGGAGTCAAAAGTCCTGCATGGTACCCCTGCCTTTGCCACTTACAAATTTGTATGCCCTAAAGCATCTCAACTGATACGCGCATATTTTTGTTGCTTTGTGTGTAAATGGGAAGAATAATACTTTCCTACCAACCATCAAAAACTGTAATAAAAATGAAATGGCTGGGAGGAGGGGGTTGGGGTTGTGGCTCAGCAGTAGAGCGCTTGCCTAGGACAGGCTGGGCACTGGGTTAATCCTCAGCACCAAATAAATAAATAAATAAGCTGTGTTCGACTAAAACAAAATATTAAAAAAAAACAAAGGAATGAAGTGGCTGGCCGCAGTGGTACACTCCTGTAATCCCAACAGCTCAGGAGGCTGAGGCAAGAGGATCACAAGTTCAAAGCCAGCCTCAGCAAAAGTGAGGCACTAAGCAAAAGTAAAAAGAATGAAGTGAAATGAAAGATTTGAAAGTACTTAGCAAATCCTGCCATATAAATGAGATGACAGTATTTCATAAGAGAGCTTCTTTCTTGAGAACCAGAGTATATCAGGATGTCTTATTACAGGATACATTCTTAGAGTATTAGAAATTGTGTATACATTCAGGGAAATAAATGTTGGAAGTGGTTATGAATAAAACTCTACTTTGATGCAACTACCAAATTAAAATGAACAAAACTATCCCTTTGGTAAAAATAAATTAGGAATTGAGAAAAGTAGAGAGGATATTAGAAATTTGCCAAACAACACCTCCTAATTCATATTTAATTTGTGGTGTGTTTTGAGTGCTTCTGGGCAAGATGATGAGGTGAGCATAGATCTTTCATGACTCTCTTCCATCCCAGGTTTCTGCTGAAAGGAATGATAAACTATAAAAGAAAACTTGTGTTAGTGTTCAAAACTAGGGCATAGTATCATGCCATGACAAAGACATATCATCACTTCTGCTTAGTACTATACATACCATACCATATTAAAGGAAGACATAAGAGGGGCCTTATAACTTCCCTTTCAGAGAGAAAGCTGAGTCTCATGAAAGAAAGTGACTGGCCCACTTAGAGCATTGAGAGACCTGAGGGTTTGTGCAGTGGTCAGAGTGTGGATCACAGCTCCAGGTCTTGCATCTTCTCACATTCAGACCCAGTAGATGAAAGAGTGAGGACTTCTTTCTAAGCATCTTAGCAAAAGTAACCTTCTCTCTCCCACTAGCTCTGAGTAAGACATGTGCTATTTCTGAACCATGCTGAACAGCCAGAGAAATAATGTATAGCTTAACCTTAGGCCTTGGCACCCTTAGCCAAAAAAAATAAATAAATAAGAAGGGGGGCCCTACCTAAAGCATATTGCCAATGAGTTAGGAAAAGGTGGTTGCTTATTAAAGAGGAATATTTCAGTTTCTAGGGGGAGAGGGGAGGTGAATGAATGTTTGGCAGCCATGTTTGTTTGCTCTTGGTCCCTAGATGCTTCATGTATACCTGAATATAGGTGGATTTAGCAAATCCTTGCAGCTTTACTATTGATTTTAAGAATTCATTTGTCAATGCACTTGCCTCTTGCTCATCCAAAACACTGCCTGCCTCAGTTGCTAACCTTATTTCACAGTGCACTTATATAGCTCTAATCCAACATTTATTCCTGGGGCTCTGGCACCAACACAACCTGTCCTCCCAGTACTCTGATGTTAGAAAGTGCTTCCAAAAGCAGGTAAAATGTCCCAACACATTGCCAGATTTTTGAGGATTCCTGCTTTCCTGGTAGCTGCCTCCCCTGAGAAGGTTCCCTTTATGTATCCAGAAAGGAAACTCACATGTTTTGGGTCTCTGATTCCCTAGAGTTCTCACAGACTTTGTGCAGTTTTCCCAGATCTAAGCAGTGAAYAAAGTGGAACTACTTCACCTTCAAAGTGTAGTGAGGGTGGTGGGAACCTCAGCACTGGTTGCAGAGTGCTCATATGCCACTGTTACAGCAGCCTGGTCTCCCAGGGGAAGAAAAGGGAAGCCACAATACACTTGGTGGCGAGGGCTGCATTTGTTCCTTGAGGTTTCTTGTTACCTCATTACACAACTCAGATGGTTTGCTTTTAACGGTCTGCTTGTCTTGTTCCATTTGACCTATAAAAATGCTAACATCCTTTAACTAAATTTCTCTAAAAGACTTGAATGTTTCTTTGTCAGGTCATATAGCATATTTGACAATAATCGCCAGGATCCCACGGGGCTGACAGCTGCTCTTCAGGCCACAGACCTGGCTGGAGTTCTACACATGCTCTACTGTGTTCTCTTCCATGGCACCATCTCAGACCCCAGCACTGCCAGTCCCAAGGAGAGTTATACCCAGAACACCATCCAAGTGGCCATTCAGAGTTTACGTTTCTTCAACAGCTTTGCGGCTCTTGATCTTCCCACTTTTCAGGTACCAAGCTTTGGTTTGTGTTAGTATTCCAACCAAGAGTTAATATATTATAATAAATATATATAAAATATTTATATAATATTATTGATAACAATATTATACACACTGTCATTTTTCTTTTATTGGCCATTGTGCTAAAGGCCACTAGGAGCAGGACCAGTTGGAGTTTTATTTTATTTTAAAATAATATGCATACCTTTTTAAGCTGCTGTCTTCTGGGAACTGTTTTAGATGCTCTATGTGTGCTCTGTTATTTTAACTACCATGCAAAATATTATTATGCCAGTTTTACAGATGGAGAAACTGGCAGTTACATAATTTGTCCAGAGGTACACATGACTGAGCCAGAACTAGTTACCCATGATTGTCTACCTCAAAAGTTTATCCTATGCCACACTGCTACACGTAAGCCTTCTGTCTTAACTTCTTAAATAAAGGTATTATCATCCAATCAACTTTTAAACATTAAAGAAATGATATCCTATATAAACAGAACCAAAATCATTGATATGACTTTTTATGGATGATTTAACTGATTTGCTCCCATTGTAAAGTGCACGTGTGGTTAAACGTGCAGACCCCTATAAATTTTTTATAGCTAAAGAAAGAAAAATTGCTTTATACTATAACACCAGATTGTCAGCTTAGAAACATATTTTTCCCATATAGAAATTTAATTTTCAAAAACACTGAACCTTTAGAACAGAGCAAGACCCAAGGAGTAGGCTTTCTCTTTCAGTTTATTAACTGTCAAATGATTTCATTAAAAAGGAACAAACTTGGCAGATGATGAACTCATAATTTAGATAAATTACTTTTCTCAAATGCAAAAGGGTTTTAGAGATATAAATATATAAAAATAGTGGTCTTCACCGTTCTGAGATAGAAGAAACACTTCTGTAGTTTATGACAAATGTGCAATTCTTTAATTGATGTCTTCCTGTCATTCTGGTCAAAAAGGGAAATTAGTTATAACATTGAATCTAATGTCTTTCAACTGTAGAATTAGTTTATTTGTCATAAGAACAGAAATCCCTCCTTTAGGGTTAGTGTGCTTCTATTTCCAAAGCTGTTGAACTAGCCTTAGGTGTTAACTACATGATATGTAGAGTTCCAAGAGTTTATAGCCATACCTAAACTAAGAGATTTGTCAGAAAATGTCAGWGATCCTTACCTCTGGTTTGAACATACATCTAGGTTTTATGAAGACCCAAGCTTCTTATATTCTGTCTGGAAACAGCTTGGAAATCAGGGGCCCTAATTTTGTCCTCAGGATATGCAGTCCAGCATCTATATTCCAGCTAGATTCTTTGCAACCAAAGATTATGAAAAAGGAAATTTCTAAAAACTGATTCTGAGCTTCTAGTTTCCTGGACCTTCTAATCAGGATTAACACTGCCTCAGAGTGCTCTATAATRGTAAACAGCATCTTGATTAAGTTGGCCATTCCATCAGTCACTCTGAGTATCAGGGAGCCCTAGGTCCCTGTTCTGTTCTTCCTGTACTGTCTCACTTACAGAAGTGCACTACTGGCGTGAGGATGTAACTCAGTGGTAGAACACCAGCCCAGCATGCACAAGGCTCTAGGTTTAATCTCCAGCCCTGAAAAAAAAAAAAAAAGATATCTCTGAACTCCAAACTGGCCCTGCTCCTGGTAACCTTTAGGCCTAATGGCCAGTAATAGAAAAATCAAAGGCTTACTTATGGAACCCTTTAGCCTAACTAAGATAAAATCCAAGATTTCTCCTCTGTAATTCTTTGCAGTATTCAGCCCAAAATGTGTCCACTATTTGAGCCAATTTTGCCAGAAATATGAGGAAAAAACACCACAGAAACTCAAGATTGTTTGACCATTCTCAGAATCAAATGTCCTCCCTGTCATGTGGAATAGCCTTTCGTGGCTGGCTCTCACAGTTCTCCAATACCCTTGTTTCTTTCTTTTCTATTTCTCATGCAACTCCATRTTTTTTTTAATTCTTTACTTACCATTTTTTCTTCTTCTTTGTCTCTATTCTGCCTCTCCTAACTTATTTTAGTYGATCTTGCATTCACTATTTCTCATTCTGTTCTCGGCCATAACTCCCAGGTATCAGAGTATAGGCCAGGAAAGCCTACAGCGATTTTCCTCTTCCTTCTGTTCCTTTGATCTTACAAGGTTCTAACTGCCATCCTTTTGGTGCCCAAGATCAGCACGTTTCTCTCTTGATTCCTCGTTAGCATGTGATAGGACCCTGATGCCAAGAATTTCTAGCACCACTCCATTTAATACATTTACCAATGATTAGCATGTTATTCCCACTTTTATACATTTAAACACAAACACATAAATTTATCAACATAAGCTAACAATATTATTTATTATGATCACAAATTTCGTGAGTCCATTATTCAGACAGTGTTCCTCCCAGACAACTTGTCTCTGCTTCATGATGACAGGACTTCAACTGAGAGGATCGTAAAGCTAGAGGAGGGGAAAGAAGGAAGAGCTGGGTTGCCTCACATAGTTGGGAGCTGAAATTATCTGGAGGCTCTTCACTCTTGTGTTTAATGCCTGGACTAGCTCAAAGACTAGACTCACCTAGGACTATTGGCTACAATATCTGTATACTCCTTATCTCTGTGTGACATGGGCTTCTCAAAATGTGGTATCTTTGTCCTGAGAGGAATRTCTAAAAGGAAGCTTCTGAAAAGAAGTGTTCCAAGAGAATCATATAGATAAAACCTGCATAGTTTTTTATGACCTAGCCTCAGAAATCATATAGTTATATATCAACCATACTTTTTGGTTGAGTCAGTCATACACCTTCCAGATTTTTGAGGGGAAATGAGAAATATGCCCCACCTTTCAGTGGGAGAACTGTCAAAGATTTGTGGCTGTTTATGAAGTGTCACACTGTATTTAGCAAGCTAAAGAACCACATCTGTTCTCATAGACACCAGTGATGTAGATGGAAGTGATCAAGTACATAATGCTCAAACAGATACACAGTATTTGCACTGTATAGCCATGGGTGAGTTTGGAGGGRAAAAATACTATTTTTTATCATAGACATAGTCAATGAAACTCATTCTAGTTCATTAAAACAACTTACATGTCAAAAATAAGATTTCAGGAACTATGTTTGTGAAGGATAGGAAAAGAGATTTTATGTAGAAGGAAGGTATCCTTCTCATCATTAGTCTGACCTGAGAAAAATCTGAGAAACAACCTGGGAGGCCCAAAGAAACTGAAATTAGATAAAATTTGATTTTTCATAATCTTTGATTGCAAAGAATCTAGCTGGAATGTAGACTGCTGGACTTACCTGCTGAAGAAGAGTCAGACAAGATAAAATGAGTCATGATGATAGTTTGGGCCCCATAAATCACAAGAACTCAGAGCTATTAGGAARGCATCTCCCACCAGACTCCTGGATTGTTTGGCCATTCTCAGAATCAAATGTCCTCCTTGTCATGACCAAACTTTGAGCCATCATACTACCACCTCAAATTATGTGACTTTAGACAAGTAATTTGAACACTGAAGACTCAGCATCAGGGGCTGGGGTTGTGGCTGAGTGGTAGAGCACTCACCTAGCATGTACGAGGCACTAGGTTCTATCCTCAGCACCACATAAATGTAAAATAAAGATATTGTGTCCATCTAAAACTAAAAAAATAAATAAATATTTAGGAAAAAAAGACTCAGTATCTTCATCTATAAAGCTGACTTGAAACACCTACCTTATCACAAGACTGAGAATTAGATAAGATCACAAAGATGTTATGGTTATACTAGCCAGCACACAGTAGACACTCAGGACATGTAAACTGACTCAGTTTCTGAAGATGAAGAGCTTACCTAAACCATATAGTAGATATCAGTTAGCCTAAGAGCTGAATGCAGCATTTCCCAAAATTCTTCATTTTTCCTTGAAGTCACAAATCCATATCCTTATTTTGTGTGAGAGCCTATTATGTGATAATAACAAAAGGTAATCCATTAGAATATTTTCTTAGCTTCTTCCCTTTTATGGTATAAAATAAAGCTGTCAAAATATATTCCCCTTTAGCTAACAGTCTGATTTTGTTCTGAATTCATATTGGCACAGATGGCCTTAAGATCAGGGGTATTGTATATTGTATTCACTTTGACAGTTTTTACAATTGAAGGTGGTCTCAAGAAACAAATCAATGTACTGACTTGACRATTAATTCTGGCTAAAAAGGAAATATAGTTTCCTTGAAAAATTGGTTTAATTTTTATATTCAAACTTACATGCCCCTTGACCTGCTCTTATCAGTGAAGGTTAAACAGAGGGCACTGGGTCACAGCATGCTGGACGTGACTAATTAAATAAGGGCTGAACCAAGAAGGTGTCACTGCTTGATTTACAGGAAGAAAGCCCTCCTGAAGTCTCTTTGGAAAACTTTTTTTTTTTTTTTTTTTTTTTGGTCTTGGGGCAGTGAAACGGAGACAGAAGACACTCTTAAAATTTTGCAGTCATTTTGTTTAAGTAATAACACTTGAAGGGCTGTTTGACCTGCTGTTAGACAAAGTGAATTCATTGAAACTTCCACACCACAATATAGCTGAACTGGTTCAAGCCCACCGAGACCTCAAATCAAAAGATGAGTTTAACCACTGCCTTTTCCCACAGGCAGACCATGGTGCTTCATTCCAGTGTGGGCTGCAAGTGTATTCTGTAGGCTTCGCCTCTCCCCTTTGCCCTCCTGTCGTTCTGTCTGTTTGACATGTTTATTAAATAGAAGCTCCAGGCTGCACAGGCAGACTCAGACTCTCCTCCTGAGTCTCCCACAGCCGACAGCCCTTTGGCTGTCTGGAGAAAGGATCCCAGAAGCCTCATAGCTGAGGGGCTTCCTGGTTTGGGGCAGATTTTTTTTGTTTTGGTTTGATTTTTTTTTTTTTATGTTCTTTTGGGAGCCTTCAGTTTATAGAGGTATTTATTTGAATTGTTTATATTTGTTTCCTGTTTGAATATAACTAATTAGGAATATGTTTATCACAAGAAAATACTTCTTTAGAAAGTATTAGAAGTTAGGTAAGTGGTACAGTTACAGGTGAATTTTACTATTGTAATTTTTTCTAAATTTTCTACCTTGAAAATATTTGTATAATGAGAAAAACTAAGTTTTTTAAAATGGAATAAATAACCATACTTTAGAGAGCTAACATCTTGTTCCACGTTGAGAAATCATTTGCTCTGCTATGCTTTATTTTCTATTCCTTGTTAGGTTAAACATTGCATTTATTATTGTCATTTATTAGAGCAAAAACCCCTGAACTAAACTGTTAAGCATAGTACTAGAGAAATAATGACCACTTTTCCAGCCCCATGGCACAAAATGCACAGTGCTCAGTCTCTCTATGTGATTTGCAACCCTTTCTCTCCCTGGGCTGGGGATTCTAACTGCTCCTTGTCTTTGTCAGTCTATTGTAGGGGCAGAGGGCTTGTCCCTTGCATTCCGACACATGGCCAGCTCCCTGCTGGGCCACTGCAGCCAAGTCTCCTGTGAAAGCCTCCTCCATGAGGTCATCGTCTGTGTGGGCTACTTCACTGTCAACCACCCAGATAACCAGGTAAGAGGCCCTGGAAAGTTCCTTAGACTGCTTCCCTAACACGAAGAGTGTGAGGTATTGGAGTGAGAAAAGGCAGGCTAGCCTGCTGGAACCCATCCGCCCTGTAAGAACCTCTTTAACCAGGCTCTAGGCATAGGTCTGTAATTTCAACTCGTCAAAGAGTTTTGATCAGCATTAGGTTGCACCAGGCCTCCTCTTAGGGATTTTAAAAACAGAATCTTTTAAATAAAATATTCTTAATTCACACAGAAGCGTCTACTCCTTTACCATGACCACATAGATTATGATACTCTAGCCACCATTTTTTTTGTTGTTGTTTTGATAAGGTAGCTTTTGCATCTTTCAGCTTGGATCATTTTATAAAACATATTAGTCTGTTGCCTTATGAAAACATTCTTGGCTCTTGGTTTCTTCCTAGATGTTTAGAAGCTTCCAAGTTGGTAGACAGCTGACTGAGAGGGCAGGATGTGGGCCTCATTCGTTAAATTGCCAGAGTAATTCTGCTTTTAACTGATTTATTTGGTTTCTGAGCAAGATTTAACAAGTAGATAGGGTTCTGCTGCTTTATGAAGCTGGAGAATCTTTTACACAGTTTTTAAAATAATAATAATAAAGTACCTTATTTAGTTTTGAAACAAGASTTAAGGCATAAGGTATCAGAGGGAAATTTCTGGCAACTTAATTTATCTAACCCCTCCCCACCCCACACACAACAAGCTTAATTGTATAGATTGTAACTAAGAGAAAGATTTCTGAACGACCCCTTAACTTTGCTCTAAGCTTAATAAAGTTTACTTTTAGGCAAATCTCAAACAGTTGTTTACTAGGTTTATCAGCCTACAGTAAACTAGACCAGGGCAAGAGGAGAGGAGATGGTTGTGCTGCCAGAGCCAAGTACAAGGAGAAGCCGCACATTGAGAACTGACATTGCCTGCCTGACACGGAGGAAGGGTAGAAAAAAAACAAAACAAGCTCGAGAATTTGAAATCACAGCCTCCTGGGTACAAAGGGTCACCAAGTCCTATGTTTTATTTCACAGATGACTGTTGATGCTTCCAGTACTGACCCTGAGTAAGCACAGGGCAAATTGCATAGTCAGTGTACTCCCTTGAAGAAGGTTCAGGAATATTCAGTCCATTTTATTTTATTTTYTAATTTTGTGTTTTTGTTATGGCTTCTTGCTTTTGGTACCAAGAATTGAACTGACAGGTGCTTTACCACTGAGCTACTTTTTATTTTATATTTTGAGAAGTTTTGCTAAGTTGCTGAGGTTCTCACTAAATTGCTGAGACTGGTCTTAAATTTATGATCTTCCTGCCTCAAGCCTCCCAAATTGCTGGGATTACAGGTACAGATTATAGCCACTGTACCCAGCTATTCAGTCCATTTTAGAAAGGTATTCCCATTGTTAGAATATGACAGATCTAGGCCCTTACTGGAAAAATTATCATACATAGAATATTTCCTTTTTTCAGACCCTGTTATCAGGAGGACAGATGGAAACTCTTTTTCGCCTCCCACCCTGGGAACACTCAGGCAGTGTCCTTCCTTGGGAGGTGTTTTGTCCATTCTGTGTATCAGGCCCAGCAGATTCAGTTTGTTATAAGCTGCTCTGGGAAGAATAATTGTGGGAAATTTCCCCTGTGGACTTTTCTCTGTGTGATTCCATCCATTCAGTCTACTAAATTGCAGTTTTATTTTCCTTTAAAGTTTGTATTTTATTTTTCTGATTACAAAAGTGTTCCATATTTATTGTGAAAAATACAGGACAAATGTAAAGAATACAATGGGATCATAGTTATTCTTGACCTCACTATCTGAGATAGCCACTGTTTTTAGCTAAAGCAGGTTCCCTTCCAGTTATATAAAATGAATAATTTTGCATAATTGAAGTCATACTGTACATGTACTTATGTTCTTGGTTCTGCACTTTACATTATACCAGAATCACTCTTTGTGAACATCTTTCTTTGTGGTGCTGGGGAATCAAAACCAGGACTTCATACATACTAGGCAAACACTTCTACCACTGAGCCATATCCTCAGTCCATGAATATCAATTTTTGATGGCTTCATGGCTTTATCTTATATGGACATTTGTGGTTTACCTAAGAATTTCCTGTTTTATACTTAAATGGTTTACTATATATCGTGACATTCTACTGCACTTATAAAGAGCTAATTAATTTGCATGTGTGATAATATTTGACTCTACAGTTCTGCAGCAAAAAAAGTTCAGTTTTTGTTTTTGTTTTGTTGTTTTGTTTTTTAGTACCAAGGATTGAACCCAGGGRCATTTATCCACTGAGCCACATCCCCAGCCCTTTTTTATTTTTTTATTTTGAGACAGGGCTTCAGGAAATTGCCAAGTCTAGCTTTGAACTTGTGATCCTCCTGCACCACTGGGATTATAGGTGTGTATAACAAAAGTTCAGTTCTTTTAGTGCATTTCATGTTAGAGATAATTTAAAACTT